CCAACAGAACCCTACCAGCTTCAGATAACCCCTTAGTTTGTCTTCCAGAACCCCACCCCCGACCCCTGCCAAGAGAGACCTACCAGCTTCAGGTAACTCCTTAGTCCATCTTCCAGAAACAGTCCCATAGAGCCCTACCAACCTCAGACAACCCCTTAGCCCAGTTAAGTTGAAATTTAAAGTTTACTATCACACATTCTCTATCATTCTCCCAAAAGCTGGGTTTGTATTGAATACCCAGGGGTCCTGAGGACTGTGCTACATCTGGCATGGGATATCTGAGGGGAAAAAAAAATCTACATACACTATGCTCTTATGTCTATTAACTTTATTCCTCTAATACAAAATTCTATCAATATAGCTATAGCTCCGTCAGGCACTCAGGACAAGAATAAATATAGATACACCAAGCTCTTTATCTATCTACTTTATTTCTCTGGGATGAAATCCCAGACATACATAACTTCCGTTCCATCCAGTTCCCTAGCTCATAGTCCTGCTAACAACTAAAGTCCTATGCTTCCAGCCTCATCTTCATCCTCTGTTTCCTCATTCTCCATTTCCACTACTCTCTACTCCTGCCACTCAGAAAACTCTGAGATCTGATTACCCTCTGTGAAACCTCTGTCTTCCTCTCTTTTCTCTCCCCACACTGTTCTGCTCCTTTTCAAAGAAAAAGCCTGTCTTCCTCTCTCTGACCACACAGTTCTCTGCCCCCTCCACCCTACCTTCCACCTTGATATGTAAAAACCTCTATTGTTCTTGGTCAGTTGCTCTGGAGATCCACTAGGCCTCAAGGTGAGGAGGTGGTCTGAGCTTCATTTGCACAAGAAGCAAAGCTATGTGTCTCCAGCCAGCTTGTCTCCTAGGCTCTGCTTGGGAGTAAGCAACCTAGAAGTTCAGTAGGTTTGGAAATATTTGGGCACACAAGAATTTCATAGCAGAAGACAGCTGAAATATTAAAGGCTGGATAGCACCAAATATTCATAATAAATGGCTTGCCTTTTGACAGACCCTTGGCCGGTCAAAGTATAGCTTTAATACACAGTTGAATCTCTATAATATATTCTTGCAGGCTGCGAGAGGGTTTGGTAGTGAAAAAGCAAGAGAAGAAAGAAAAGTCTGACCTCCCACCTTCACCATGCTTATCTTCATCTGGAAACCTACAGGGATCATCTGCAACTGACAATAACATGCTCTTCTTGATCAGAATGTACTGTTTTCATACAATGAAGTGTGATCAAGCCAGAACAGAATATCATGGATCTCCATATCTACACACTTACCTGGGGTAGTTTTGTTTTGCTTCTCATGGTGACATCTGTTCCCTTCATGTCGCATATATGACATACTCTTACCATTAAACTCAGAACTGAGTTCTGTGTAAGCAAACAATGGAGCAGTTATCATATTTTAAATGTTCAGGGTGGCTTGGAAACCTACTGGAACCCTTTGATTTTTGACTTACAATGATATAAACTTTTCATACAACCCCCAAAGTTATCCCCTACTAGGCTTTTCCATGTCTTGATACAGCAGTGCCTGTTGCAGAGACACCTCATTTGTGCAGTGCTGTGTGCCTTCAGCTGCGTGCGCCAAACCTCAGA